AATATCACATATGATTAAATTCTGAATTTAGAAATAGAAACAATCACTAACCAGCCCAACACATATGCCTCAATGTGCTTAATAACAAAGAAAATAAGGGACTATTTCTAAAAGTGCATTAAAAAGAAAAAGGGATAGTTTTAAAGGTAATTGTAAGTCAGGAACATAAAATTCATAATTTTAACATTTTTTCACATGAATATAAGCAGTTATTTGAATACAATTATTCAAAAGCATCATACGGGTATCTGTGAAACCATATTTTCATTTTCTATAGGAAAATAAATTCCATATTTATCTAGCAAGCATACTTAAAAAGAAGACTCTATCAGTAAGATCATAGCTTGCATTATATCAGCATACTGACCACAAAAGTAATTTGTTCCAATAAGCTTGGGTGAACAGAGATAAAATAAGTCTATATTAAGGCTGAGCACGTATCTATATTCTCTCACCCATGAAAAGAATTATTCTCCGAACCAAAGTTAAAAATCAGCACAACCAATGTTAAAATACAAATTGGTGACATATCAGAGGTAAAGCCACTCTAAGGTCTCTAAAATGAAAAGCATTATGCTATGTTTGCACCATGGTTACAGACCCAAGGAGAAAATTAATAAAATCTTACCAATGCTGTTTCATGAGACTGTGGCTGTTTGAAATTAATGATTTCCAAAGCGAGTGTTTTTTTTACTTTGGCTAAATCTGCTTCTCTGGCTGCTTGTAGTAAAGAATGACCTTTAAATTCATCTGTCAATGAAATAATAGTTGACATATAGTTATATGTTATAAAAAATAATCTGCCAGGCATGGTGGTGCAAACTTATAATCCTCATAATTGAGAGACTGAGGCAGGAGGATTATATGAAGCCAGACTGGGCTACATAGTGAGTGTGAGCTCAGTTTGTGAGAGATTGTCTCAAGAACACAACCACCACCACCATACAAATATAATTTTTTAAAAATGTATGTGTAGGTAGGAAAATTATTAACTTTATATACCTCTCTATTTTAGATACAAAGGATGAAGGTAAATATTATGGGAAAATTTTGAAATATATCTATACTCTGCATTCTGTTTGTTTTATGAGACAGGGCCTCTAAGGTGTCCTGGAACTCATTAGGAAGACCAGGCTAGCCTCAATCTCTCAGACATTCACCTGCCTTGGCCTCCCGAGTGTACCACCACACCTGCTAAAATGTGTATGCTTTCAGAGTTCAACAGTTTTAAGATAGACCATCTAAAAAAAAGCAGGTAATTTGTGAACACATACACTGGATTACTTTATAGTCTTGAGATACACATACACACATACACGTTGACATTAGGTAAAAACTGTTAAATGAAAATTTCACTAAAGAGAAAAGATACACTGACCCATTTTTTGGGTACTGTTATTGTTCTTGCTACTATTACCGCTATCAGAACTAAATATGAGTAATGGAATAGAAAATGAAATTTTAGAGAAACATTTTAAGTGTTCTAGTATTTAAGTCTTGACACAGTGAGAACTTCCAAAATTTGAAAATTTTTCAAAGAACAATTAAGTACCTACATAAAGAATAATTTTGGATTTTTATTTTCAATTTCACAAATTTTGCTTCATTTTATACTCAGTTATTTAAAAAGCTGAAAACTGTTCTAAAGCATGCAAAATGAAGCATGTTTTTAATATGGTAAGCAACAATTTCAGATCTTCTTATGTTTGGACCTATGCACCTGCATGGTACTGTGATCTTTCTTCTGAGAATCCCACTATATTTCCCTGTCTCTAAAAACACAGAGCGATATGCAGACCCCTATTCACGTATACTGTATGCCTTATGAACTATTAGTCACTGGTGAAAGCCTCCGTTTAGCTACTTTAGACCAGCCTTTGGATAAGCCTTCCTTTTCCTTGATACTGCACAGGATACCTTAGCATAGACTTGCATTTAGCTTTCATAAAGACCTATCATCATCGCTGTATTTGCTTATGGTAGTCTTCTTACCTAGAGCAGAGTTTGGCATATGGTAGGTTCTCAATAATATTTGTTGCATCAATGCCCAATATTTCTATAATAAGCTATGGTTAGAGTTCAAGAAATGAGCCAGTTTTATATAAACTTTTATTTCATGATTTTTAGAATAGTGTGTGTGTGTGTGTGTGTGTGTGTGTGTGTGTGTGTGTAGGCATCCACATGCCATGAGGTGTGGGATGTGTGTAGAAGTCAGAGGACAGACACTATGGGGTATCAGGAATTGAACTCAGGTGGTCAGGTTTGCATGGCAAGCGCTTTTACGAGCTAAGCGACCTTGCTGGCCCTATTTCATGTTTTTAGTTTAACACTGTTAATTCCTCAAAGTATAAGGCATTACAAATTTAAAAACAAAGATTAACTGAGATGAAAATAAACCAGTAAATACAAATTACAAAATTATATACTTTGATTTAATGATACAAGTAGGAACAAATGAAGTCAAGGAATTTATAAGCAGACACATATGAAGAGCTGGACCCTGACAACTACATCATTTAGCTTTACAAAAAGAATAAATAGAAAATAAAAAAGAAAGTAGATGATATGTGGAATGATATGGTTAGAACATGCTATAAATATTCAATAATTGTTAAGGGATTCATCCCCAGTAGCCTTAAAAACAAACAAACAAACAACAATAAAAACTCTAGGAAACAAGAAAGAACTCTTTACAAAAACCCGGAAGTCTTGAAAAATTCATTAGAATTAGACTTTAAAAAATATTGTGTGTGTGTGTGTGTGTGTGTGTGTGTGTGTGTGTGTGTGTGTGTGTGAGAGAGCGGAGAGTAGTTGTGTGTTAAAGACTACAGAATTCATGAAGTATATGTCTGGACATGAGGGTTATGGCAGAGGCAGGCAGGTCTCTGTGAGTTTGGCCTGGCCTACATAGCAAATTTCAGGCCAGCAAGGGCTATATAAATGAGACTCTGTCTCAAAAAACAAAGAAAAAACCCAACCAAACAAAACAGAAATGAAGATTAAAAACTAGTACACTTGTAAGAAGGTAGGGATATTGTCTAAGTTAGACAAAATATTAGCCCTAATAATGCAATACAAATATGATATTCCAACACAAATATGATATTCCAATTCATAGCTCACAATATTGATTTTAAGTTATAAATACATACAAGTTAGTCTTTCCCGGAGCTCAGGAGTTGGAGCCATATCCACAGCACTTTTGCCATGGCAGTTGACTAAGGTAGGATCAGCACCATGGCTAAGTAACAAGGAGCAGACTTCCACACGGTTCTTGGAAGCAGCCTCATGTAGTGGCGTGAACTGCCAGAGATCCATAGCGTTAACACAAGCTCCATGCTGAATTGAGGAAGAAATTTGGCATTAGTAATCATTTCCCTGGGTGAAACCAGACTCAGAAAATGTATTTCACTGAAATTATACTTAAACTTTTCAATATATAACTATTTTAAATTTAGCTTTTAAAAATAGCTTAAGTTGAAGCCAGCCATGGTGGCACATGCCTTTAGTCCCAGGCAGAGGTAGGTGGTATCAGTGAGTTCAAGGCCAGCCTGGTCTACATAGCAAGTTCCAGGCCAGCTGGGGCTACAGGGAAACCCTGCCTCAAAAAGACAATCAATCAATCAATCAATCAATCAATAAATAAATCAATCAATAAATAAATAAAATTTAAAAAATAGCTTAAGTTGAATCTTTAAAATTTCTAAGCAGTGGAAAACTTTAAAAAAATTATCTTATTCACATAAAAATATAATTATCTACAAGATCATGAAGTATCAATAAGTTAAAAATGAAATAAGCAAATGCTACCCAATATTTTTAGTTTCTCTTACCTTCAATAGAAGTTCTGTGACTTCATAATGTCCATACGAGCATGCATTATGAAGAGGTACAAGTCCACTAAATGAAAAGAAACAAATCAAAATACTTGAAATTTTAAACACCTTATAATAATTTGTGAAGTGCTAAAAAAACAAAAACAAACAAACAAACAAACAAAAAAACCAATGTATTCCAATCTACTTAAAGTACTTTAGGAATTCAAGAAAGAGGCTAGGTCTTTAATCTCAACACTCAAGAGGCAGAGGTAGGGAGAACTGTGAGAGTGATGCCAGCCTGGGTCTAAGAAAATGAGTTCCAGGCCAGCTCACAGCTACATAGATACTTTGTCTCATGGAAACAAACAGAAAATCCAAAGAAGAATTTGAATTCAAAAAAAGAATTCAAAGCAGAGCTTATATTCACACCTTTTACATTTATTTTGTGGTTTTTGTATATGAGTCTTAAAAATAATGAAAAAATACCAATTACAAGAATTGTTAGATAAAAGACCATGTGCCAATAAATAAATATAAACTTACTTTATATATCAACTATGTGAAGGGCACAATAACAACCAATGAACTGAAATATTCCTGCTATTTTAGTTCACTTTCATGGCAATTTCTAGTATGAGTTAAGTATCCAAAATATTATCACTTTTATATTAGAGTATTCTAAATGAGATTTTGAAATATCCTTTTTTGCTGTGTGCATCTCTTAGTGACTTACCTATTGTACACCCGTCTGCTTTCAGACATGAACAAGGAAACAGGGATGTTAAAGGGTACCAGGCCCTTATGTTCCTATACCAATGGGACACCATTCATACAGGGCACAAAGCTTCATGTAGGCAAGAAAGAAATAGCAGGAAAAAGAGCAGACTTGATATTTTATTTATTTTTTTAATATTATGTATATATGTGTATTGCTTGTACCCCTGTCATGCAGTGCCCACAAAGGTCAGAAGAGAGCATCGGGTCCCCTGGAATAGAAGTTACAGGCAGTTGTCAGCCACCCTATGGGTGCTGGGAATTGAACTTGGGTCTTCTTCAAGAGCAGTTAGTGCTCTTAACAGCTGAGCCATTTCTTCAGCCCCAAAAGAACAGACTTGAAATGGATAGACTGCCCTCTCTTTATCTGTCTCAAGTACTGAGTTCACTTCTGCTCTTCCTGACACAAAGAGGAGAAATGCCCTCTAGGGCATTTCTCTTTTATGCTGCCAAACACAGAGTATGATATAATTTACCTCATATGGGTAGGGTCAATTAACCTTTGGATTTAAAAGGTAGATAATGAGAAATGTTAGCTCTTCATATATGATGGCAAACAACGTCCACATACCTTTGGACACTACAGAGGAAATTAAAGTCTTCCAAAATTTGCCAATTCATAAATAATGACATACTTTTTTGCTTCCCATTCATGCTCTTCCCACATCAATGTTTGTAAAGACAGTCTAGATTTTAAGTTATTAAAAATTTCATTGGGATAAAAACCCATTAAACTAAAAAACTTTTTATTCATTACTTTATTAATAAAAGATGATCTTCTTAACAGCTGAAGAATATGGCAAGTATACTACTAGACTACCAAAATTTTCAATATTTTTCTTTCTAAAATGCAATTAAAGAGTTGAAAATGATTACAGTTGAGAAAAATAATTTCAAATAATAAAATTTTAATAGAAATTAATTGATATAAGAAATTATTATGAGAAATATATATAACAGTACATGAAAATAAGGTCTAAAATCAAACTTGGGAACATTCTTTTTCTTTTTCTTTTTTTAAAATGTGTATAGGTATTTTGCCTGTATGTATGTAAGTGCACCACATATGTGCAGCACCCAACGAGGCCAGAAGAGGACTTCTGATCTCTTGGAACTAAAGTTACAGACAGTTGTTAGCCATCATATGGGTACTAGGAACCAAACCTGGGTCCTCTACAAGAGCATCTAGTACTCTTAACTACTGACCCATTTCTCCAGCCTATTATGAACATTCTTAATAAGTGTGATATATGACTTGCTTTGAAGCTTAAAGGTTTAGGCTACCAAATAATGAAAATTAAGCATAATAATCTATGAATGGAATCATTTGCAGGAATTAAAGGGATGCACCTACCCTTTATCTTTTGCATGAACATCAGCACCATGCTGTAGAAGAAGCTGAACTATACGAACTCTGTTGTAGCCCGCTGCTAGATGCAAAGGAGTAGACTGGAAAAGACAAAAAAATATCCCTTCTTTAGGTTAAAAAAAAAAAAAAAGATTTTGTAATTTAATTTGGATTCATTTAGATTTAAATACAATGACTGTTAACAAAAATAATGGGTTAAATGGCAAAAACTTAGTTTCTAGATATATGAGAGAAAATTTTAATTTCAGTGCCATCTGGTATGGTTTGAATTTGGTCACTAATCTAACATTGTCCTAGTGTTGGGGCCTTATAAGTGAAATTAATGTTTCATAGCTGGAAGCAAGGAGGGTTTTGGAGGAACTGGTATCACAAAAGAGGGCACCTATAAACCAAGTCTGGTATTGCTTAGCTCACCACTCCCTTGCTTCCTTTCTCTCCAACCCCTCTGCTCCCTGTCTCCCTCCCTCCTCTGTCACACACCATTCACTCAACTCCTGTCATGTGATGTTATCTACCTTTTTGTGACACAGGCAAGGGGCCCTTGCCAGATGCCGGCACCATGCCATCTGGTCCTTCCAGCAACAAGAATTAGGAACCAAATAAACTTTTCTTTATAAAATAGTCATTGTCAGGTTATGGCAACATAGAATGAACTAACAAACCTTTCATCTATGTCCCTTACTTGGTTTTCAAGGTCTTTAATAATTGAGCTCTATCCCCACATTGCTTCTTTCTTTCTTTCCAATAAGAACCACTGTTATTGTTCTAACTTAAAAGCCCTATAAGGGATTATATTCCTCATAACAAAATATTCCTCCTGATTCTATTTAAGTTCCTTTAAGAATTGTTTGAAGAAGCTTTAGTGAAAACCGAAGGGACAGCCTATCATATTTGGTCCAAGACTTCTAGCAATGATGCAAAATTCAAGTGCTACATGGGATGCAATAAGATACGGCAAGACACTATTTAATCTGCTTTCTCATGTACCACATATACAGTATAAATACAAAAGGGAAATACAGTTTCTTCTCAACTAATTTCTGCTACATTTTAATTAGAATCAAGTTATTAAAAGATTCCTGGCAAAAATTTCATATATAGTAATCAAATGCCTCACCTTTTTAAAAAGCCAGCAATACCTTTAATTAAAAACTTCTCTGCAGTTGCAACAATCTGTCACTTTTGCTCATTTCAAGTTAATACTCTGTTTTTCACTTAGGCGCTAATGTACTTTTTTTAATTTTTACTGTCTACTATTTAGAGTCTTACACTTAAACAAAATTTCAATTTATTTTCTCCACCTTTCCACATGTCAAGATACAAAAGAATTATGCTATCTAGTATTTTTTTCAAGGTACTCCATAAATTATATATTTCAGACAGTCTTTAAGTATAGAAAACATACAAAACTATTCATGAGTAGATGAGGCAGGCCAGGTGAGTCTTGAACAAGTCAAGAAACCCAAGTCAATTCCCAGATCTGAGGCAACCAACTCCATGAAAGTTCTAGCACCTCTATGTCTGGCTTCTTCATGTGTAAAAGAGCAATAAAATCACCTGTCCTAAGCTATTTCAGTAACTTACCAAGTTTTATACCACGAACACTTAAAAACGTAAGATGGCATATAAAACTGACTTCCATCTTCATCTTGTCAGGCACGCCCTGCGAGGTTCTGCTTTCACAGGGTTGGGAGTCAAGGATAGGCAAGCTGCCTGCATGACCCTGCAGTTCCACTGAATAAAGCTCAAATTAACCTTTTTTTTTCTTCCTTTACTATTTTGAAGATCCTGGCCCACCATCTTCTAGTTTGTACTGCTTCCTGCCTAGAAATCTGCTGTCGCCCTTATTTTTGTTCATCTGTGCATGTGCTTTTTCTATTTTAGTATTTTCTCTGTATTAGCACACTGAAGCAATTTAACAATGCACCTTGGCATAGTTTTCTTCATGATATTTATTTATTCATTTATTTATGTATTTTTCCAATTTTTATTGAATTTTTGTGCATTTTATACATACATCTTAATAGTTCGACCCCCTTCACTATTTGCACACACACCCCAAGCCCCCTTGCCAGATTTCATGTACTCTGCCATATATGTTAAGGCCTATTGAGTCAAGTTTGTGTCCCCAGATGTCCCTCAGTAAGAGTTGATCCACTGGAACCTGGTCAACCTACTTAGCATCACTCCTTTAAAGAAGACCAAGTCTCCCTCACCTAGCAGTGATCATTTGCAAATAGTTCCTCAGCTAAGGTTGGGGCCTCTTACCCATTTCCCAACTTCTGTGCTGAGTTGTTGTCTGGTTCTAGTTTACATGGGTCTTGTACATGCTGTCACCATTGCTTTAAGTTCATATGAGCAAGTTCCCAGGACCCAGAAAACTGTTTCACTGTGGTCATCTACCACCCTTGGCTCTTACAGCCTTTCTGCTCCCTCTTCTGCAATGGTCCCTAAGCCCTGGGTGGCAGAGGTTTGATGTAGGAGTCCTAAACAGGGGCATACACTCTGCAATTTCTTTTCTCCACATTTTGGCCATTTGTGGCTTTCTGGGTTGATCACCACCTGTAACATAAGGAAACTTTACTAGTGAGAGTTGAGAGATGCATTAATATTCTCTCTGCACCCTGTTCTGCTAAGCAATGTTCCCTGAGTCCTGGGTATAGAGGTTGCATTGTAGATGTGTCACTTAAGGCTGGGCATCTCAGACATTTATTCTGTATTTGATTAGTTATGGAACTCCGCAATAGTCTCCATCTGTTG